ATGCGACCTCTGTGGGTCCCAACAGTACTATCACATAGTCTAAGCATGATTTCTAACATGATTTACAGTCAAATTTTATCAACACATAGAGAGCATATAGCTAACAACAAATTATTCAACTTTACAGTTTCCCGGGACGGACCAAGTCACAATCCCTTTGGTGCACGCCCGTCACCTACCATGTGTGTCACCTCCAAAATAATCGCATTATACCAAAATCCAGGGTTTAATACCCTCAGGACCAGATTTAAAACTGTTACTTACATCAAGCCGTGAAATTCTTATTCTGCAATGCCCTTTCCTCGTGAATTGGTCTCCAAACGCCTCGAATCTGGTTATAAATAATTCGTTTAAGTCAATAAAATTCATTGGAATTAATTCCATAAGAAAATAATGATTTTACATAAAATTCTGAAAATTAGCTCAAAAATTGCCTGTGGGGCCCACGTCTCGGAACTCGACAAAAGTTACAAAATCCGGAAACTCATTCAACCACGAGTTTAACCATACCAATTTTACCAAAATCTGAACCCAACTCGACCCTCAAATCTTCAATTTAAACCAAGAGGGTTTTCAAATTTTCCCAACTCAATTCACCAATTAAATGATAAAAACAATCATGGATTCGGGTAGTTTAACTAATATTGAGTTAAGAACACTTACCCCGTTGTTTCCTCTGAAAATCACCCAAAAATCGTCTCAATCCGAGCTCCAAATCGTCAAAAACTGCAGAACTTAAACTGTCTGCCCAGATATTTGCCCTACGCGATCGCGAACATTCCCACGCGATTGCGAAGAACAATTTTCCATCGCCCAGATTTTACTCTACGCGATCACGGACTTTCCCACGCGATCGTGATGCACAACATCACAAATATACGCGATTGCGGACTAGTCCACGCGATCGCGAAGCACAAAACGCGTGACTTCTACTCCGCTCCACTTACTCTATGCGAACGAGACCTTTGTCACGCGTTCGCGAGTCACAAAATTCCAGAGCTACGTGATCGTATCCCGCTTCACGCGATGGCGAAGCATAAAATGCCACTGCCTCACATTAATCCTACGCGGTCACAAATATCCCCACACAATCGCGTGGAACAAAAACCCCCCACTGACCAAATAAGCCTACTCGATCGCAAACGCATTCACGCGATCGCGTAGAAGGAAAACGTTATCAGATATCAGAAAATTTCAACAGCTATTCAAGTCCAAATGTTTGATTCGTTAACCATCCAAAACTCACCCGAGCCTCTCGGGACCTCGACCAAATATACCAACGAGTCCTAAAATATCATACGGACTTAGTCGAACCCTCAAATCACCTCAAACAACGCTAAAATCATGAATTACACCCCAATTCAAGCCTAATATCTAATTTCTACAAACGACTCCGGAACCTATCAACTCACGTCCGATTGACCTCAAATTTTACACACAAGTCATAAATGACATAACAGAGGTATTCAAATTTTCAGAATCAGATTCCGACCCCGATATCAAAAAGTCAAATCCCCGGTCAAACTTCTCAAAAATTAAACTTTTGGCATTTCAAGCCTAATTCCTCTACGAACTTCGAAATAATATTCCGAACACGCTCCCAAGTCCAAAATCACCTTACAGAGCTATTAGAATTATCAAAATTCAAATCCTAGGTCATTTACACATAGGTCCATATCCGGTTCACTTTTCTAACTTAAATTTTCCATTATGAGACTAAGTGTCTCATTTCACTCCGAGTTCATTCCGGACCCGAACCAAATAATCCGATAAGTCATAAATTAATTGCAAGACATAAATTGAGTAGTAAGTGGGGGAACGAGGTTATAATATTTAAAATGACCGGCCGGGTCATTGCACATTCTTTTATCTAGAAGAGTTCATAATCGTGAACCAACAAATTTATCCGAGTTTCTTTCACTTTGCTTGTTCCTTCATAAGTAACTTCCAGTTTGTCCCACATTTCCTTAGAGGTATCATAGCTTGAAATTATCTCATATTCTTCTCCATTTATAGTATTATAGAGTAAGTTTTGTGCCTTAGCGTTAACTTGGACAACAACCATTTGCTCGTCAGTGTAGTCATATATATCTTAAGAATCAACGGGTGGTTGTTCTGCTGCTAGAAGTGGATTATTCCCCTTTTTGATAACATGCCATACTTTGACATCATAGGACTTTGCATAAATTTCCATGCGCACCTTCCAATGAGAGAAGTGTTGTCCATTGAAAATTAGTGGTCTTACTTGCGATGTCCCTTCTTGAAAGAGTACTCCAATAGCTACTTGGTTTGACATGATCTTTTCTCACTAGATATTAAGCAAAAGATAAATATGTGAGACTGGTTCTGATTCCAATTGAAAGTACGAGGGGGGGGGGGTGAATTATCGATTTTTTATTTTGTATCCTAAATAGTTGACTAGTTTACCAATTAGTCGACTGAAAATAAAGACAGAATCTAAATAAAACCAGAAGTAAAAATATAGGAATTAAAGACACCAAAATTTTTATAATGGTTCGGATTCAATGTGAATCCTACTCCAGCCTCCTTGGATTGCAAGGGTGTTCTATTTTCAAAGCTCATTGAAAGTTTCAAACAATTATGTTGATGTTATCTCGAACACCAACTCACATTTGAATCTAAGTACACTCGTGATACAATGCCTTACCAATATTTTCTCTCTCNTATACACACATACATATACATACTCCGTGAGCTCTTCTGGTCTCGTGAATCTTGAGAGATTGCAAACCCAAGGGAGTTGATCCCATAAAGGAATCGTAGAGTGATTCTTTCCAAGAATAAGATATTACTTCTGTTGATTTTTCTTGACTTGTGGTCTTGATTGGATTTTTTCTTTGCTGAGCAGATATTCAAGTATCAAATCAGATCCCTTGATTCCGGCTTTTGATTGTCGTCCTTTGATGGAGGAATCTTCAGTGCATAGTTTCGCGATCATGACTTCCTTTAATTAAGGTCTTTCCTATAATATCCTCTCTTAATCTTCTACCAAATCCTTGATTGATTTTCCCTTTGAATTTCTGCTACTCCTTCCTTTTTAGTCTCAAATCTTCGATTCTTCCTTTCCATTGCTTTAGGAGTATCTCCATTAATCTTCTACCAAATCCTTGATTGATTTACTTCCTTTCCATTGCTTCAGGAGTGTTTCTGCATATAAAAGATGTGTTATTTTGCATCACTAAAATAAACATAGATCTAACAATAGTTGAATAGTATGATCACCATAACTCTAGCTTTAGCTTTTGTTAGGTCAACTGAATTAGTCAAACCTTATCTTTATTTAAGTCGCGTATAATGTTTTAATTGATGTTTTAGAGAAATTTTCAGAAACCACTATTGTCTAGTGGCTATTAACTCCCTATAGCTACCATATACCAGTGTTTAAAAAAGCGCCCGCTTCATCGCTTTAAGCGAGAAGCGAGGCGAAGCTTGAAAGGCAGCGCTTCAGCAAGGTGAAGCGACTCAGGTCAGTAAAAGTGACCGCTTCTCTGTAAAAAGCGAGAAGCGGGTAAAGCGAAGCGAAGAGATGAAGCGTCCGCTTCTCTATATTAAAACACCCAACCCTATTTTATTAAAAATAAGTTTTTTTGATTAAACACTGCTCTGGACTTCTACTTCTCCTTCTACTTCTTCTACTCCTCCTCCTCCCCCTCCTCCTTCTCCTGATCCTCCTCCTTCTCCTTCTCCTTATCCTGATCCTCCTCCTTCTCCTTCTCCTTCTCCTTCTCCTTCTCCTTCTCCTTCTTTTTCTTCTTTCTAAACGTCCAAAAAGCGGTGAAATGCTGGCGAATATTTTCCAGAATTTTACTGCCCAATTTTTCCAGAATTTTACTGCCCAATTTTTCAGTTATTAACAGAGAATTCCTCTGATTTTTTATATCCTTTATTCTTAGTTCTTATTGCCTTTCTTATGTGTTATGTAGTTGTTCTTTTAATGGCGCCAAAAGAAGATAGGAAAGACTCGGCTTAGGCTTACTCTGAAAGAGTTTGTGAGACCAACAAGATGACAATTAGATGTCTTTTTTGTGACAAGATTTCAAATGGAGGAATCTATCGTCAAAAAGAGCATCTAATCGGTGGTGATCCAAATGTCGCATCTTGTCCTAAAGTTCCATCGCATGTGAGGGAAGATTTGAAAGCATTCCTTCATAAAAAGAGAGAGTTAAAGACTCAAATGATTCATGAATAAGAACTGTATAATCTTGATGACGATGATGAAACAGAAGAAGGTGACGATGCTTCGTCGCTTCGACCAAAATCACAAAAGCGGGGAAGGATGTAACCAATGTCTTCTAGTTGTGGATCTACTGGGAAGACCAAAGGTCCTATGGATTGTTACTTCTCGCAAAAATCAGGAGATAAGGAAGGAAAAAGTGGTAATCCTCAAATTGATGCCAAAGCGATTTTGAGGGATCGTGCAATTACAATGTTTGCGCGGTGGATGTATGATGCAGGTCTTCCTTTTAATTGTGTTAATTATACTGACACTTTTTCTGCTTTTATTGAGGCCGTAGGCCAATATGGTCCAGGAATGAAGCCTCCAACATATCATGAAGTTAGAGGGCCATATCTAAAAAAAGAGGTGGCAGAGGTGAACAAAATCGTGGAGGAGCACAAAGTAGAATGGAACAAGTTTGGTTGTTCCATTATAATGGATAAGTGGACGGCGAGAAATCAAAAAATGATCATCAATATCTTGGTGAATTCTCCTAAGGGAAGCCTGTTTCTTGAGTCCGTTGATGCAAGCGACTCTTTGACTGATTCAACCAAAATGTACTCCTTGTTTAAGAGTACAATAGACTCTATTGGAGCATAAAATGTTGTTCAAGTTGTCACGGACAACGCCAGTGAAAATGTTAAAGCTGGTGATTTGATGTCTGTTGGGTACCCGCATATTCAAGGAAAGACCCTTCAGTTCAATCTTTAATCAGACAATTAGAGTGCATTCTTATATTGTTCAAAGGCCTTTGCTATTGAATATGATGAAGAGATTCACTAAACAAAGAAGCTTGGTGAAACCTGCAAAGACAAGATTTGCTACTGCTTTCTTGATTTTGCATAGGATGTATGAGCAAAAAAGCAATTTGAAGAAGTTATTTGTTTTATATGAGTACACTAACAATGCCTATGGAAGGGAAGCTCGAGGGAGAGAATCTGCAGATATAATACTTTCTCCTTCATTCTGGAACAATGTGGTTCATGCATTGAAGATTGGTGGTCCTTTAGTTAAAGTGCTTCGTTTGGTGGATGGGGAGCAAAGGCCACCAATGGGCTACCTGTACGAAGAAATGGATAGGGCAAAGGAGGCTATTCAAGTCTCTTTTAGTGATCAAAGAAAATACAAAAGAGTCTTTGAGATCATAGATAAAAAGTGGGATAGTAAGCTTCATAGCCCTTTGCATGCAGCTGGACTTGTTTTGAACCCGGAACTGTTTTATGACAATGAAGAGAGGATTCTAGGAGATGAACCTTTATGGAATGGATACTATGAATGTATTGAAAAGTTGATACCTGAAGAATCCATGCAAGATAAAATAACAGAGCAATTTAGTATTTATAGGAATGCTGAGCAACTTTTTGAAAAAAACATGGCGATTAGACAAAGAAAGACGAAGTCACCAGGTGAGCGAGTGCTTATATGTTGTTTTATAGTTAATAAGTTATTTCTTTATCAATATTATGTATTAAAAATTTGTTCTACTTCTACAGTTGAATGGTGGAAGAAATATGGCCATTCCACTCCAGATTTACAAAAGTTTTCCATCAAGGTTCTAAGTCTAACATGTAGCTCATCCGGGTGTGAAAGGAATTGGAGCGTGTTTGAACATGTAATAACTAAGAAGAAAGATTTAGTATATTGAGATAATTAAATTATATATCAATTGTCCTAATCTTACTAATTACTTATTATTTGCATATTCATACCAAAAAGAGGAACAAACTAATCTTGAAGCATCTCAATGATCTAGTATTCATTAAGTACAATAGAACAATGAGGCGTCGTTACAACGCTCGCAATGTAATTGATCCAATTAGTTTGGACAACATCAATGATGCTAATGAATGGCTAACTGGAGTCCCGAAAGATCATGCAGATGAAGAAGTATTTGAGAAAACTTCTGATTTCACTTGGAGTGACGTTGCGGAGGCGCGTGAAATTGGGGAGAGGATTTATGATTTGAGGGGGAGTACCTCAACTTCAAGTTCACATAGGAAGGGAAAAGAGGCAGCTACTTTGTCCCTAGTTGATGAAGAAGAATAAGTTGAAGAAGATGACGAGCAATATAATAATGATAGTGGAATACAAGAATTTGACAATCTTGTAGAAGAATAGGATGCTCATTTTGTGCTTTAATTAATGCTACTATTTAGTTTTTACATTGAAGTATTGAACATTTGCTTACAATTACATGTGTTGTCTATGCAATATTTCTTTTTTTTTTAAAAAAATTTCGCTTCACTTCAAAAAAGCGAGTGCTTCGCTTCTCGCTTTAAGAGAAATGGGGGTTGTCGCTTTTTCTCGCTTCACGCTCTTCACAACACTATCATATACATAATTACTTCCTATAGCTACTATTCAGTTGTTACGGTAGTGTATTCACATGTATTCGCGCTGCTGTATTCATGAATACAATAACAAAAAGCGCCTAAAATCAGGGCAGTCCAGATGTACGCGCATGTATTCACATGTATTCGCACCATGCATTCATGAATACAACAGTAAAAATCACATAAAATCATGACAGTCCAGCTGTACGTGCATGTATTCACATGTATTCGCGTTGTTATATTCATAAATACAGCAATAAAAAGTGCCTAAAATCAGGGCAGTCCGGCTATACGCGCATGTATTCACATGTATTCGCGCCATATATTCATGAATACAATAACAAAAAGTGCAGACAATCAGGATAGTCCAGTTGTACGCACATGTATTCACATGTATTCGCGCTGGTGTATTTATGAATACAGTTGTACGCGCATGTATTCATGAATATAGTAACAACAATCCCTTAAAAATAGGTATGTCCAGCTGTCTAAAAGAGAGAAAAAATATAAATAGTATATTTCATGCCTTATTTCATGCCTCAATTGTAGTATATACGATAAAATACTTATTTTGCTGTAAAATATAAAAGGTAGCTATAGAAAATAATATTTTAAAATAATTTTAGTTTATAATAAATAGGGTGTATACCTTTTCTATAAGAGGTAAAATTTCCATGTTTTTGTATCTCTATTATCAAATGGATCTAATCTAATAACATGACTCATTCAGTTTTAAGTTCCGAATTGGTATATCACAGTCCGTTAATCGTGTGAGTTGACCAGCTCATCTAGTTTGGGACGCTATGCACATTTAATTTACTGGAAGCTTTTGTGTGGAAAAAATGTAACAACTTTTGGAATTTTCATTCTTATTACTTTCTATTTCATTCAAGAGTTCCTCTCCTTTTCTTAAAACACAAGATCAAGAATGGGAAGTACTAGGGCAGAGAGTGTTATATTTTCCGAAATAGCAAGCTTATCTTTGGTTCGGCTTTTGGATTAAGTAATTATTCAAATATTTGACTTGATTGATAAACCCACCGCGGGACAGTAAAACGGATTTTCATCTTTATGCAACTAACTCTATTCTCACCTAGTGTATAACTCTTTTAACATAACATTGCTTATAAACAAATTCAATACCATTTTATAGGCAGTGTAATCTTATTTCTAATTCCATTAGTTAGAGTGCAACTACTCAGACAATCAGTTGCAGGGCAAAAGTTACCATATCATCAATCAATTAATTGTCCTTCAAGCTCAAAAGCTGGACGCGAATGCATTATATATTAATTAACTTTTCATTATTATATGGTTAGAGCGTCAATAGTCTTAATTTGGTCAGTTTCATTTCAAAGCCAAAACTGTACTTTTTGTTATCATGGTCTCCTCCAATTGTGTTTTGCCACGTCAACTGTGATTAAGAAATGGTACTGCTGTTAGGGCTCTGAAATCAAAGATTAACGTGGTGGTCCTCCTACTTAATTCAACACATGAAAGCGATCTTGTTGTTTTGTAGTCCACATTAGTCTCCCTAAGCTAGGCCCATTTGGTTGGCCCTGTTTTCGTGTCAGGTAAAGAAAATTCAAAATTTTGCCTCATATATTAAAAGTATATATCATATTTATAATAAATCAAAATTATTTTAAAATATTATTTTCTATAGTTACTTTTTATATTTTATAACAAAATAAATATTTATGGTATATACTATCATTAAGACATGAAATAAGGCATGAAATACGCTATTTATATTTTCTCTCTCTCTTTCTTTCAATTAACACACGATTCTCTCTAAAAAAAATTTCTTCTTTCTCTCTCTCTTTATTCTATCTCTCTTCGAGCAAAATAAACCAAATCATAGGTACACGAAAGAGAAACAAATCATGAAAGAAAGCCTCAAAATCTCAAAATCAGAATCATGAAAGTAAACCTATAATAAAAAAAGGAAGTGAAGATTCCTTGGGCGATAAAGAGATTGAAGAGAAAGAGGGATTCTTAACGCGGTAAGTAAGAGAGAAAAGAGGAAGAAGCGGTCGAATTGGAAGCGGTGTAAACTATAACAGAAGAGGTAGTGAAGCGATACAAGGAGTCTTGGCCGGAAAACATTATTTTTGACGAATTTTCTTCTCTTCTTTGCTATTTAGTCACATACATTGATACAAAATTAAAAATTCAATGTATTCTGTACAAATTCACTCAAACACTTTGTATTTTTGTATAAATACATTTTTTTTTGCTCGTGTTTATGTATTTTGAATGTCTGTATTTTTTAAATACAGCTGAATACACTTATATTCATGCATACCGTACATACAGTATGCATGAATACAAGATATAAATATTGAAATATACTGAATACAAACATTCAAATAGAACAAAATATAAATAATGAATACATTTAATTTTAAAATATAGTAAAATATACTGAATACAAATAGAAATACAGTGAATACAACCAATGAAATATACTGAATACAGTAGTAATAACATGTATTAGGAATAACTAAAATACAGTTAATACAATATATTTGAATACACTGTATATAAAATAACGAATACAATAAATACAAACAATGAATCTAATGAATGCAACAGAAAAAAAAAAATTAAAACACATTAAATACAAAAGTTATATACAAATGAAAAATCATTCTAATTAATTGGGTTGATAATGAGGTATGTTAGAATTGATTTTGTTGAGTTATATTAGGAGTGTATCACGCTAATTGATATTATTTTCGTTATTAGACAGGTGGACATATCTATTTTTAAGGTGATTGTCGTTACTGTATTCATGAATACATGACGCGAATACATGTGAATACATGCGCGTACAGCTGGACTGCCCTGATTTTAGGCGTTTTTTACTGTTGTATTCATGAATACATGACGCGAATACATGTGAATACATGCGCGTACAGCTGGACTGCCCTGATTTTAGGCGTTTTTTACTGTTGTATTCATGAATACAGTAGCGCGAATACATGTGAATACATGCGCATACAACTGGATTGCCCTGATTTTAGGCGCTTTTTGCTGCTGTATTAATGAATACATGGCGCGAATACATGTGAATACATGCACATATAGCTGGATTGTCCTAATTTTTAGGCGCTTTTTGCTGCTGTATTCATGCGCGAATACAACGAATACACTACTGAATAGTAGTTATAGGAAGTAATTATGTATATGGTATCTATAAGAAGTTAATAGTTAGGGCAGTAACTAAGATCTCTGACGGGCTCAGTCCAATTGGACTTCCACTGTATGCTAAAAGTTTTATTACTAATAAAAGAGATAATTTGGGCTTTTTATGTGTCTCAAATTTTAATGTGCCCTACTCGCGTTGGCAACCTAAATCCAGATCAGTTCCCATATGGGGGCCCATGCTGACTGTGTTTACCAATTTGCCACGAAACATCGTGGACCGCCAATGGCCGAGGCAGAGATTGCGATTTGGACAGCATTAACTTTCCAGAAATGTGAGTCAGACTGATACTTCTATTTGTTTGCATAGGCTTTTTGTTTGTGGCTCCAAAGAGATAAAAGCAGACTCTTGGGGCCATTTCATTCACGGTACAGTTATGAGATGACTGTATTGCATGAAGCATAATGAGAAGCAGATCTAAGATTACAGGAAGATGAATGCTTAATACGAAGAGATGAATCCAGAATATAAAATTTACGGATTCAATATTTAGTTTCTATTATTGTGCCCATTATAATTTTGGAATTATAAGTTCAAATTTTTTTTTTTTTTTTGTAAAATAGTAATTTCTTATATCTATATTATTGTGAAAATGTTGGGATTAGTTGAACCCATTACCTATATGCTATATTCCACTATTACTAGTTTTATTAGGCATATTTCGTTTAATCATGGAGTGTAAGATTTTCTGGTGACAAAAGAAGAATATGAATTTTAATTTGTGAAAATCTTGAAAAAATAAATCAAATGTAAAAAGCAAAAAAAAAAGTACTTAATTAACACGCAAAAATTGACACCAGACATGCTTCTCTCGTGTGGGCGCCTAGTTCTATAAGAAAAAGGAAAAACCAACAAGATTAATCTAAGATTTGAACCCACAGTCTCACTTAAAAAGGTGCACCCAATAACCATCGCATCATATTATGCTTTAAACTTGGGTGTACACACATATATTTAATTATCTTTTAAGAAATATAATATAATATACACGATCTAGGGAGGGAAGCATGTGTTCACGTGCCCCATGGAACCCCTAGATACTCCCCCGAGTATAATGTATTATATGATAGAATAATAATGTAAGCATTGTTATTGTGTGAGTAACAAAGAAAGGAGTGATAATGGTGAATCATGATATATAGATTGTTACAGTCCTATGTAGGTATATTGCCAAATTTAAGGATATCTTTTCTTTAATGCTCTTATTCACATATTGTTAATGCAGAATCCACATTTTATCTTGTATAAATGATAAATAGATTCACATACATATAAATTAGCCATAATTAATTAGTAATACATCATCTCACTTACGGTATTAAACTCCGCATAACCTACGTGGAACGCTCTATTAGTAGTATATAGAGAGATTATACTAGTAATTATGTATAGTTCTATACTAGCAACCAACCATATAAGTAATACAAAATTTTACACGAGAATTAATTTTCTTGTGCTTCAAAGTTCAAACATAGCGACCCCTATTTTCTTGTGTATCAGCT